GCCACTCGGCTGGCCCGGTTTGCTAGTATTTTGTTGAGGACTTTTGCACCTGTGTTCATTAAGGATATTGACCTGTAATTTTCTTTTTTTATGATGTCTTTGTCTGATTTTGGTATCAGGGTAATGCTGGCCTCGTAAAGTGAGTTGGAAGCATTTTTTCTTCTTCCATTTTTTTGAAAACATTTGAGAAGGATATGTATTAAAACTTTTAATGTTTGTTAGACTTCACCAGTGAAGCTGTCTGATCCTAGACTTTTGTATGTTGGGTTGGTTGGTTTGTTTTTCTCATTTAATCTCCTTACTAGTAATTGGTCTATTCATATTTTCTATTGCTTCATGACTCAGTCTTGGAAGATTGCATGTCTGTAGACATTTCTTCTAGATTGTTGAATTTGTTGGCATATAATTTTATGTAGTCTCTTAATGATCCTTTGTTTTTCTGTAGTTTTAGTTGTAACTAAATTTTTATAAGAGTTTATTTGAATCAAACAGGATATGCCTCGAAGCAAGATCTCAACAGACACATGCTTCCTGCATGGACTGTCTCTCATCATTCTTTTACTTTCAGTTTCTGTTTGTCCTTACTTCTGAATTGCCATAGTGGAGGGCAGGGCTGTGGCCTGGCCTGGCTATAACATGCATTAGCTGCAGCCTGAGGCTAAGCAGGGCTCTCAGCAGGGCATGCCCACCTGTGCTAATATAATAGGTAGAATGAGACTCCCCAAATGGCGCCTGCCAGCACCAACATTAGCAAGGTAGTATGACATTATAGAAATGGTGCCCATCAGTGTCTCCATTCCTGGGGAATATACCAACAGTTTTCTGTCGCTTCAGCTTTCAGATTAGTAAGTGGGTTTCCTTCATCTATGGTTTAGGTGCTTTTCAAACTGGTGTTTTTACAGTGTTTTTCAGGGCAGGTGAGTTTGCGCACAAGTTCTTTAAGTGCAGGTTTTCTGTTCCCTACAGTTCTATGGATTTCCTAGACATTATCCCTGTTGGTTTTCAAAGCCAGGTGTTTTGGGGATTCATCTCTTCTCTGCATGATCTAACAGTCGAGGAGCCTCATACGATGCACAAACCCCTCACTCCTCAGAGGAAAAGCTCTGTATTTTGGGGATTCCTTCCAACTGTTGATCTCTGCACCTTGGTTTGGGTTTTTTTTGACAGATGATGTCTCTGCCTCCTACCCATCTTTATGCTGCCCTCCCTCTTATCCTTTGTTGTAGAGGTTTTGTTCATCCAATTTTCAGTTCCTTTTCAGAGGAAATTATTCCATATGTAGTTGTAGATTTGTTGTGTCTGGGAAGAGGTATGGTCAGGATCTTCCTATGCTGCCATCTTGAACTCCTAAGTCTCCATTTGTAGATTTAAGAAATTGCTATCTCTTCCTCTCAATTTCTTGAAAAACTGCTATGTGTTCAAGGCCAAATTCATCTCTTCTTTTTTCCTCTGTTGCCCTAATTTATGTGCATTTTTATTTCTTTGAATTGGGAGGTATAACTATACACTAATTCAGACTTGTTAATGTTGTCTTGTAAATACCAAGGAATTTATGCTACTTGAAATTTATAGAAAGATACCACCTGGATCTTTCTATAATGGTGAGGATCAAGGATACTCACCATTCAAGAAGTGTGGTGAAACAAGGCTAGAAGATTATAGAAATCTCTGTGAGCACTAAAGAGTTAAGAATTGCTTAATCATAAGCTTGAGAACTGCAAGATTTTACTTTTTAAATGCTAGTCTTAAATTACTGGATTCACAGATTTTAGAGGATGATGATTTAGGAGTACATAGAAAATGGAAGGTTAAGACTGGACAAAGATTTCTTAGAAACTAGGAAGCAGGGATGAAAGGGAGTGTGAACCTTTGGTTGGATTTTATCAGTATTCGAATCTACCTTTGAGTATCATTATTAACATGTCACCTGAGTATAGTTTTTTGATGGTAAAGAATTAGTAACTGAGAACCACTTGGTTTTGGCCATTCTTCTAACCTCTTTTCTTTTATAATTATCATTTCTTTACTGTGTATGCTAAGAATTGTAAAAGTAGTGTGGAGTTGGATAATAATGATAAAAGCAGGTGATACCTCTAGTGTGATTCTCTGGTGTTTTAATTCCAGTCAGAAAAAAAAGTTTGTTTTTGGCAACCGTTATTCACTCTCCCTCCTTGCCACCTATTAGCTTGGCTGTGATGTTTAGTTATTTTGATTCAAGTTGTTCTAGATTATGTAGTAATTAGGCTGTCAGCTATTTAATAGGTTTATTTCCCCAGCTTGGCTTCTTGCCTATTCTTGAAGCAACCAAACCTTCTTTTCTGTGAACTTAGAAACAAAATCAAATAAAACTATTGTTAGCCAATATTAAATATAAACAATTAGGCTTATAAGCCTAACATTCGATGTTTACAACTCCTAGAGTGATAGAATTTGAATTACAAGGGTCTTAAATAAATCATCTAGTCTACTCAATTAAGTTTTGTGAATATTTCTTTCTATATAAAATAGGATAGTATGCTGTCATGTCTAAGTTTGTCTTTAAGTTTTATGATAGTAGAATAGGCTCTATCCAGTGAATGTGTGGACCGAGTCTTATTTGTCCTACACTTAATTTTCCTCAGACTTGAAGTCATTTTAATATCTTTCAGAATTTTATAGACTTCAATCATGTCCTCATTACTGTATCAGCTTCTAATTTATTTTGATTCTACTCTCCTTACAAATAGTCCTTTTTCACCAAGCCACCTCCACCTACAGTTTTTGCTTTATTTTAATCTCCTTTTTCTGGACAATCTCCAATCATAATATACTTTGCTAGAGACCTACTGACCAGAACAATACATGCTGTTCATGCATGGATTCATCATTAATGATTTGAGTTTTATTTCCAATATCTTTCTGGTTTTTACCTGACACTCCATTGCTTTGATTCTGGAGGCATATTAAGAATAACAACTTTAGAAACATGTTCAGGGTTTTTTAACTGCCTTCTCCTGCCCTGCATCTGATAGCTTGGACCACTTCTTTCAACGTATTTTAGATTATTTTTCTGTAGGCAGATTTTCTTATACTTGCCAGCATAATCTGTCACTTTTCTGCCCACTTGTACAACCCTCACCTCTTCCTATGTATTTTTTTGCTGTCAGCTTGGCCTTTAAGCACCAAGAATTGCTTTAAAAATTTAGGAATATTCCTAAATATTGCTAAAATATTAGCAGCATCAATGCATTTGACAATTTCCCAGTATAATATACCTTCTTTGTAATTTCTAACTATTAAATAAGACTGTTCCTAGAACTACTGTTTCAACTTTACCATCCAGAGATTTGCTCGTTTATTCTTATATTTTGGTTATTTTTGTCTTCATCAATAACAGGATAATTCCTTTTTTTCCATACCACTCAAGATGCTTATCAGAAATCTTTTAGATACTAAATCTTTTCATTTAGTTTACAAAACTAAATTGCTTTCCCCGTAATTTTTTTTTTTTAAGATTTTATTGGGGAAGTGAGGGAGGAGAACAGACAAGTTGCTGTCCTTTTGTTCTTCAGTCTAGTTGTGGAGGATATTGCTTCACTGGCCCATGTTGGTATTATCATTGTGCTCTTCCTGAGTGAGGCAGTTGCTCACCAGCTATTGGACGGCTGCTCACGGGGGCTCACAGCAGCTCACGAAAGCTCACACCAGCTGCCGGCTAGCCCCTTTGCAGCCTACACCATCACCGGTGACTCATGGTAGCCCAGCTCCAGGTTGAGCTGTTGTTCACCATCTTAGCTGTAGAGGGCGCAGCATCACTGGCCTTCGTGTGGGATCCAAACTGGGGCCCTGCTGCTCAGAGCTGGCGTCCCTAACCAACTCCTAACGAACGTGCTACTCGGCTGGCCTACTTTCTCTGTAATTTTATATTTACTTTAAACATTAACCAAAATACTATGTTGGTAATATTAAACTATTTGGAAATTTTTTAAAGAAGCAATGATTCCCTTAGAGACTGTTACGTATTTCTTGTCTTTTTTTTTTCTGTTGAATTACTGCATTGGCAATAAGGGCTCTGGGGAAGAGGTTCAGCCTTTGGCAGTGTTTTAAAGTACTTAAATTTAATTTTAACTCTCATTTTTACCTCCAGGTTGTCAAAAACCTGTTTTGTTTGACCTAAATTTTTAACTTCTTAATTCCTGTTCCCATTCTCTTATTTGCCCAATATTTCTATCACAGGAGTTCTATCCATTTTAAAATGTCCAGAGTTACAGCTAATCCATCCTAATATGTTAAGGAGAAGATGCTTTCATTTCATCCATAACCAGAATTGACCATTTCTGAGCCTGATGATGATGATGATGATGATGATGATGATGATAGAGATAGATAACACTGTTCTAAGGGTCAGGCCTACTCTAAGCACTTAGACTCATAGTCACTTAATTCCCACAGTAATCCAGTGAGGTAGATGCTATTGTTTACCCCCCCCCTTTTTATACTTGAGAAAGTTGAAGCAGAGAGAAATGAAGTAACTTGGCTAAAATCACACAGCTAAAAAGTGTTAAGAGTCAGGATTTGAATCAAGGAGTTAGTTCCAGATAACATTTTTAATCCTGTTATATATTTTAAATGGCAGCATGTTTGGTATTATTTTCTGAATACAGAATACAAGTGTTTGTCTTAAATTTTTCATCTTCAATATATCAGGTAAGATGTGTATACAGAATGATAGATATGAAGTGTGTGATGAGGGAAGCTTCATTTGTGATACTGGATTCCTTTTTATAAAGAGTTTAAAGTGTGCTTAGTTTGCTTCAGAAAGATAAAACTGCCTTATACTCATTCATTAAATATTTACTCAATGCCTAACAAGCGATAGGCTCTATTCTAGGTGCATGGGATATATCATTGAATAAAAAAGGTAAATATCTGTTGCAGAGAATTTACATGGTGGGAAAGGGGGTAACAAAGATAATAGGCATAAGTTATTATGTTAGAAAATCAGTACTATAGGAAAAAATAGGGCTTTGGGAATATAGGGGTACAGGTAAATTAAGAAAAGGTAACATTTGAGTAAAGACATGAAAGACATAAGGGAGTTAGATGTATAGATACCTAGAAGAAAAATATCTCAGGCAGAGAAAACAGACAGTACAAAGGCCCTGAGGCAGGACTGTATGTGGTGTGTACAAGGAATACCATGGAAGCTACTATAGCTGGAACTGGATGAACGACGGGAAAGAAAACAGATAGTAGATGGGCAGGAGGAGTTCCAGGTAATGTAGGACCTTATAGGCTATTGTAAATCCTCTCGCTTTTACTCTGAGCAAAATGAGGGGCCGTGTTTTGATTTCCTATTATGCCAGCTACTATACTTTGTCCTTTGTAGACATTATTTCACATGCTCTTACCCAGAGCCCTAGAAGGTAGATACTTGTATCACCCCCTTTTACAGAAAAAGGTACTGAAGTTTAGAGCTAAATAACTTGACCAAGGTGGTACAGCCTACATGTGAAAGAATCAGGATTCAACTCCAGGCTTTAGCACTCTTAAAACCCATGTACTTAACCATGATGCTACTTAAGTTCCAGTTTGTGAGAAACATTTTGAATATATTATGCACAGCAGCTCAAAAATGGAACCAGTGAAGTCGGTGTTATTTTATACTATTATCATATATTTAAATATAATATATTAAACTATTTTATATTTTATTAGTTCTAAGGCAATATCTTTTATATTTAAGAATGTTGACTTTCTGGGTTTTTTATCCCAGGTGGTATAGATATAGATGCGTTTCAAGACCGTGAGGAAGGCCGCCCAGGTCCGGATGATAATGAGGAGGTTATGCGAGCCCTGCTCATTCATGAGAAGAAGACCCCATCTGCCATGGCAGGCTCAGTGGGGGCGGCTGCTCCTGTGACCACTGACTCAGAGAGTGAGACCAGTGAATCAGATGATGACTCCCCACCCCGTCCAGCAGCTGTGGCTCTACACCGTCGGGAAGAAGACGAGGAGGACGACGAGTTTGAGGAAGTAGCAGATGACCCTATTGTCATGGTAGCTGGTCGTCCGTTCTCCTACAGCGAAGTGAGCCAGCGACCCGAGCTGGTGGCACAGATGACACCAGAGGAGAAGGAAGCTTACATAGCAATGGGACAGCGCATGTTTGAGGACCTCTTTGAGTGAGCGTTCCCTATTTTTCCCTCCTTTCTCTCATACTCATTTCCAAAAGAAATTCCCTACCTTTGAAGAAAAGTATTTAAGTGGCTTTCTGTCCCTCTTTGACGTAAAGTGACTGTTAATCTTGCACAAAAAATAATGGGAGAGAAAGTTTGATTTTTACGCCAGAAACTTCCCAACAAGGTAGGTTGGCTACAAGCCTTCCCTTTCTTGCTGTTGCTACAGTATTATATTTTATTATCTAGTCTTTGCCCTTTCCTTTTTAAGACATTTTTTTCCCCTTCTGAAATAAGTGAAGGAAGTCTGTAAGGTAAATTCTTCATGTCTGCCTGCCTGCAGAAGCCCATTATGATAGGTTACAGTAATTCACTGATCACATTATTTTGTCTATTCTGACCAAGCATTCCAAACAATTCCTGATATTGCTGCCAACCAAAGCAATTTGCCAACAGCAAATGATTGATGAGGGAACAAAACAACCTTAAAACTTCATATTGCCTCACAATTGAGGATGGAGTCAATAAGCGAGGGGAGTTGAGAGTATGTGCGAAAGAGGGGTGGATATGCCTAAATCTCGTGGTTAATATGTAAACCAAAATTTGTGTCTTTAGAACTGATCTAACTGGTAGATCCTATTGTTTTGCTTACTGCCTTTTGGACAGTATGTTGGATGATGGAAACAAAAAGGGTGCTTGGTAAACCCTTATTTAAAAATTAGAAAAAAACATGGACATAGGGGTTCATGTAAAAGGTTGATGAGCAGTAAGCGTTGGGAACAGTGCCTTTTAGAATTGCCTGAGTTTGTGCTGATTTGGAAATCTTTTATAGAAAGGTGAAACTGGTCCCCTTCTTTTTCCCTTCTACAGTGCTTTAAGTTGTTTAATGAGGCCATTCCGGCAGACATCAGCATATAACAATGATTACTCCTCTTTTTTTCTCTCAACATCGTTGAAGGCTTCCTTTGTCTCTCTTTCGATTGTTGTCAGACATGGTATTTTAGAGTACATCCAGTATATTGTTGTTCATTGTAACCTCAAGGAACATAGTTTATTTTTGGTTCTGATATGTAGCATGGTATTATGCCCTAAGGCAGAACTTGAAAAGTAAGGAACTTTCTTACAAGGATCTATAACAATTGTATTTTTTGTAATATTTTTCCTTGCATTGTAATTTTTAAGTATTTATCATTTTGTAGTACATGTGTGAAGCTAAGATAGCTTTTAGAGTATCTGAGCCTTGTATGAAGTGATGTCTCATTTACTTGGATTGTATTAATGACTGAATATCGACAACTATTTTATACTGACTGAAATTTGTTAATTCCCAGTTCTGTAACATCTTGGAGCATAATTAAAGTGAATACTCTTCCCATTAAAAAAGTTTCAGACTTTTGTCTCTTATTAGTCATATTTTAAATAATAGATTCACTTATATGTGGCCCAAACTTTTTCTGGCAATAAGTTTCTTTAAGAATGTTTACATGGGCTATTTAACTTTTAAATATTGTTTTTTAAACTTTCACAGTTCATTTAAGTAAAGTAGTAATCAGATGTTAAGTTTTAAAACATAGTTGTAGGTGAACTGTCAGCTCTTTATTTCAGTGAATAAATGTTTCTTGCTATTTTTTTTTCTTGAATCTAACTTGATGTTGTAGCTCCTAAAGCTAGTGTTCTATTTTTCTTTCCCATTATCTACCAACTTCTTAAAGAATCATATAGACTATTTACATATTTCTTTTGTCTCTCTCTTGCATTCTGGGTTTTGCCCTATTTCTACATTGAAACAACTTTCTTCAGTCTTAATTGGCCAACATAACAACACTTTATTCCTCAATTTCTTTGCCTGCTCTTCAGTATTTGATGCTATTAACTTATTCTTTCTCCTTGACACATTTCCATTAAGTACCCTAGCCGTTACACTGTCCTGGTTTTCCATTGGCTATTCCTTCTCAGTCTCCAGACTTTATTTTTTTCTCTGTTATCTGTATGAGCATACTTCAAAGGCCTAGTTCTTTGTGTGTGTGTGTGTGTGTGTGTGTGTGTGTGTGTGTGTGTGGAATTTACGTTATGGAAAAACATCAAAAGTGAAGACAGAAGTATGAATAGGTGTATTCATTGCAGCAGAGTTTGAAATAGGATAGATAGATGCATAGATATACTAAATATGCATTAATCAGGAATTAAATTATTTTTCCAAGAAGCCATGTAGCCATTATAAAGAATGTATTGACAGGAAAACATATTCATAGTGTGTTAAGTTTTCTACGTGTGTGTATGTGTAAAGAAAAAAGTAGCTAATATATGTATCTAGACACTAACTGCTTTACATATATTGACTCATTTAATCTTTATAACCTGTGAGGTAGGTATATGTATACAAAGATATATATAATTAGAGTTGAGAATTACAGTGGTCTCAATGTGTTATAATGGAAAAGATATTCCCATTTTGGAAAAACAATCAAATGGACGTTTTAAGAAGTTTATGTAGAAAATACCTGGTAGAAGTAAAGAAATAGAGTGACAAAAGCAAGCTTTTCATGTTAAAACTAGGATTTTTAGGTGTGCCTTTTTTAAATCCTGGATTTATCATTTCCTTAGATAAACATCTCTGAATTTATACTAATAATTAATAGGAAAATATAACAATGTGTAAAATTTTTTCCATTGCCCCCATATTTTGATAACATATCCCATGACTCTCTAGAGTTTGAAATTACTTTATCAGACAGGTTTATGTCTGTTGAGTGGCACAATATTTTGGTGAGAAAAGCCAGTCAGTGACGGAATGACCCAAAATGGGAGCCCTGCCGATGAGCAGCCTTCGAAGCTCTAGGAAGGTCAGAGTCATATCCAATGTTGGTCAATATATATAGTCACAGTGTGTGTTGACCTCAGGATGGCTGGAGTTGTTACCACTCACAGCCTATAATAAAGGGTGGTCAATAACTCATCTCTGAGTTAGGTTGGTTATATTTAAGTATAACTCAAGTGTCAGCTGCCCAGGTGTCCCAACCTTTCCACTGTCCTTTAAGATTTAAATAGACCATTTTTATCCTAACATCATGGACTACTTCAGTATCATTTCTTTTTTTGTGGGGTGGGGTGTGGAAGGGGTTGGCGGTTTATATCCTACTGCTTGCCTCCCTGCTTCTCCTCCTCTCCTCTGTACCACCTATACGGACTCCCACAGCGCCACTGATGCAAGTCTGTGTAACAGATCTTCACCGAAGTTTTTATAGTACGGGGCAGGGGACAGGCAACGAGAGGGGTTATTGTCTCAGCACTGCATAATCCAGGAATATAAGAGTAGGTCGTATACATCCTTGTTCTTAAGGAGCCTCTTCATCTTCCCTCACAGGTTTCATCGCAAGTAGAATCCTGGCTTTAAATCTTACTAAAATTTTAGCTCCCCCATTTCCTTCTCTTCATCAACCCTATCTAAAGGCTTTGGAAAGTTATAAATGTATCAGAGAAAATAACTTTGTCTTTATTTTATTCCTATTCCAAATAGTGCCTCTTGAAAGCTCCTATGCTATCCAGAGTGGCCTATCCAGATAGTTCCCTAACCAAGGAGCCATCTTCCCACCTCTAGGAGTCGGCATGGGAGTTTAACTGTGGCTTTAAAAGGAACTTTTTTCACTTCGCACTGCACTAAAAAAGTATTACTCATCATACTTTGCTATAAGTAAGGTGATGTATATAGCTCTGGCCCTAGGTGATTCATAGCCTTGTATCTGATAGAAAACTGCTTTCATTCTATCTGTCCTTGAAGTTGAAGCCTTTTTATTTAGATGCTCTTTTTTCCTAAAACATCTTTAGGAGTATTAAGTTTAAATGATTAAAAGAAAATATCCAATTTGGCATAGCCTGAAGGTCAGGAGACTAGGTTCTAGCCCCAGCTCCAGTTATTTAGACACTTGCCCTGTGACACTGTTATCTAATGTAATCTTTCTGGGCTGGTTTCTCAGCTGTCAATCATGAGAGGATTATGCTAGGATCACCAATGATTCCCTTCTGCTCTGATATTTATGGAAGTAATACATTTTTAAATGAGGCCAAATAATAATAACAAACAAAACAAAACAAAAACCCCAAATCCAAAAAAGTCCTCTGATGTGCTATAGCAATTTAAATCAAGTGAAGGAAATTTTAGTTGAGGGACTGGTGTAGGTGGCAGGTTTAGGATTTAGAATGTAGCAAACCACAGAATAAACAATTGCTAATTAAGTTTCTCTTTTCCTATCTTGCCAAGGTACTTCATTTCTAATCATCTGAATGACTTAGGAAGAAATAATCGAATTTCTTATAACCCTTTTTAGGGACTGTTTTGAGAGAATTGGACACTGAATGGGAATAAGATTGGAAAGAGCAGTTCATTTTCTTTTCTACCAGTTGGCTTTATGGCTCGATTCCCAGCCCGGACCACAATAGAAAGACTTAACATATGTACTACTTTCTTTTTCTCTTTATTCCTGAGTTTTAAAAAGTAACTAAGACATGAAAATCAAAAACAAATACAAAAATCTTTAGAGCTTAGAAATTGGTATAATTCCACCTTCTATTTGTTTAGCATTTTGTTTCCACCAAAGCTATTTCACATGTGTTATCTCTAGCCAAGCTGGGCTACTGTCACTTTGTTTTTAAAAAGTGTCTAAAAACCTCTTGGGGAAATGAAGAAGATTTTCAGAAAGAAACTGTCACTATGGTAAATTTACTGTCTATTCTGTTGGCTTTTTATATTATGAAAGAAGCAAAATAAACTGTGAACAAAATAAATACAGGTACTCTTAAAATATGGAAAGCCAAAGGCGTAAGAGGGGAAAGGGTCATGAACTTTTACCCCTTTCTTTGAATTGCTAAAGGAATGAACTGATTCTGGTGTGTCCTCAGAGGAATACACAAGTATCTTAGGTTCTCTTGAGAAAAAGCTTCCGATCCTGAGTACCAGAGGCTGCCTTTCCTATTCCAGTTGCAAAGCAGATAGGCCCAGGACATGACCCAGTTTCAACAATCAACCCACATTTTCCATCACACAAAAGAACATTATTGCCTACCTAATGTAGGTAAATCTGAGAAAGTAGTCTGGAAAGAGGCTGGTGCCAGGTCCGAAAGTGCCTAGAATCATGTTAAGGCATACAACATGGTCATACAGTTTTTTGTTTGTTATATGAACGCATTAATTTTTGAAAAATACATCCAATCAGGGCCGGCC